ATTAAAAAATTCGGTACTCATTAGCATGAAAAATTATTAGATTTAACAGCGTGAGTCACATACATCTCCTGACACTTCGCAGCATTCTTGACGATTCGCGGCACCCTTTGTAAAAAAAGCATCATCGTCTTTAAATGAGCGAGATGACTGACGTGAAACTGATTATATCCTCCTAAACTTTTTCACGATGCAAATTATAAAAGAATAATGAAATTCTTATTTTTGGATCCTTTCTGCTGAGTTTCTTCAATAAGTTTTAGGAATTGAAGATTAAGATATGATTTTATATTATTTTGCTATGTTTATATGATAATAATATTTTTGAATAAAAGTATATTGCTAATTCTACTATCATTGAAAAGATTCAAATCCTTACTACATTACTTACTTACTATTTAATGTTTTATTATTTCTAAAGTAATGATCAACTTGCAATCCAATAAAAAATATAAAATAATTGTATATTGTAACATGAAAATGTGAAATACTTTACAACAAATGCTTAAATAAATAATAAACATTGCTTCATATTTTATAATCTCATTAAAACTGATTTTTGAAAAAATAGAAATCTTTAAATCTTTTGCGCCAAATGGAAAAAGAAAAATATCATAATTTTACAAGATGACAATTTTTTTTTAATTTAATAAAGGAATAGAAAGTATTTAAATGCAAAATTTACAGTAAGTTAAGAAATAGCATATAATTATGAAAATTATGACATTAAGCTATATAAATCTTTAAAACCTATTTCCTCATTTCCTTTAAAATAAATTTTTTTTGAGTATGGAGGAATTTATATTTCCACGATACACACACATACGCACAAGAATTAGACACAATTTCACAACGCAAATTCCGGTTCGATTTATTTCTTGTGAATAAAACATACTTTCTATTGCACACGCTATTTGCTGCGCATGGCGCGCTCATGAGTCATCGAAGTTGAGATACCACCATCGGAAGAACTGTGCATACCGTACGTCCGGATCGGTGGCGAACAATGGGTGCGCAGCAGCCACCAACCGGTAATTATCTTATCGTTAACTTCTCTTTCACGAGTCGCGGACGTGCGAAAAGCCACCACCATCACGGGAACCGAAATCCCCAGGGAAGCTATTCGATAACACTTGAACATCGTTCATTGGGAATGTTTATTTATTTAGATTTGTTTTTCATGATATTTTTTTTAGCAATTATCAGTCTTTCAGCGAAAACTAGCATTTAAAAGAAATATAATTTTATAAATTATATTTCTTTAGCTGCTAATTTTCTTATAAATTCACATTGAATTATTTGAGTAGGATAAGGTCGCCTATTATCGATTCCCAATATGAGCGGGATTTCTGCTAAACTAATAAGCGCATGTGGTTGATTTTATTATGAACTTATTACTCATAGAGTGAAATATATTTAGTAGAAAACTCATTATTAAATCATGCGTAGCAGTTGTGAAAAAAGATTCTTGAAATTGGATGTTTTATTGAGGTTAGTCTTCAAATTTTAATTATATAATAAATAAATATTTTATAATAAAGTGAGCAGAGAAAGCTTGCAGAGATAGAGTAAGATCGTATTAATAGAAAAACAAAAACAGTGATAATAATTTAACTGTAAAGATTAAATTTGGTGATCATGAAACCGCAAGGAAGTCGTAATATGAGATACTTATGGTATTCTTAGCTAATATGAGAGCATAAACAATATTTCAAAGCATATTATTGAAATATTAAAAATGATGATTTTATTATTAAGATTACTTACACACACATACTCACATACACACACATCGAAAAATTATATAATTATTATGTATAACATTCAAATTCTTTGTTCCTACTTGCATGTAATAAAATAAAAGCGTGTATAGACAGCTTATCTTTATTTTTTTAGTTTTCTGTTATGAAATACCATCTCATACAAGAAAACTCTTGTATCTTTTTATTAGAAATTCTTTTTTTTGAATGAGCAAAATCAGCACTTTCAATAAAAAAATTTCACATACAACAAAGTATAGCTACTATCGATCGCTAACTTTTGGTGATAAATCTTGAATATATTTCCCATAAAATTAATACGAAAATAGGAATTAAGGTTGCAAATTAAATAAATTACAAGTCTTTAAAAAAAGGTATCTCATATTAGGCAACTTTATAAAATCCAGCTTGACCGTTAAAAACTCTTTTATCCCTATTTTTTTTACTTCACATTTATAGTTGTGAGACATTCTTTATTTATTATTGCTTATAATATTTTAATTGTTTATTTTATGTATTTCTCTAGCATTTCTATATTGAAGAATATCTCTGTAGCACATGATGGTGCATGACGGTTCGTGTAAAAAGAGGCGACAAACGCGACATATGTGAGGAAATTCTTTGTTGTTAAGTCCTGTGACGCGAGTCAAATGGCGTGAAAATATCATGGATTGGAACCACTTGTGCGTTGCATAATTCGCGACTAGAATAGAAGCGTGAAGACACGATGCATCGAGGACGATCTTCCCATCGCTATGACACATCGAGCGACGTCGATGAAAGGTTTTATTCAGGCATCGGATTTCCACGTGGGAAGCAACGCGGGAGGAATAAATATGCACACAACATGGTGTATTGTTCCTCAAACTGCAGGCAGTGAAGATGTACCACAGCAGGCTAATTGGTAGAAAGGAAAAGGCTTGTCTGCGTAATGGATAATTAAGAATTTCGCAGCGAGTTAAATCTGAAGTAAATTTCTTTCTAAAAGAAACGAGAAAGCATCTGAAAGATGTTTACAATGAAAAAGAAATGGTTGCACTTACTATAATTAAAATACAAAGAAAGTTGTAAAGGACTCTTGATAACGTAAAAGTTACATTTTTATATTTTTTTATCATAATTTAACCCTCCATCTGCAATTTGACTCTTTTCCGACACAAGGTGAAGGTGTGATTTCTAAAACACATTTTTAGTCTATGTATTTTATGTCTCTAAATTTTGAATCCAAACGATGCTATATGACGGGACATTAATTTCAGAAAAAATTTAAGTTGAGATAGTTTTTGAGATAAGAGGGATCAAATATAAATTGAATTATTTTGATTCTCGGTATCTTCAAAACTACTCCTATGCTCAACTTAAATTTTTCTAAAATTAAGTGTAACATCACTTCGAAAAATAAATTCTCTCGTTTACTTTCAAATTTTACCCTCATTTTTGCTTAAATATTTAACTTTCGATATTTAAACATTTGAGTTAAAAAACTATTTGTTAATGTATTATAATAGATATGTTAAAAAGTGTAACCATGAATCTTTTCACATTTCTGAAAACTCAAAAGAGTAAAAGAAAACTTGAGCTGAACAAAAAAAACCCAGATTGCAAACGGACAGAATGAAATATGATTGCAGATGGATGATAAAAATATAGTCATTTTTTAAACCAATTATATATTTTTTATAGAGCTATAAATATAATTATTTTCCTTTCAACAATCAGTATCAGGACTAAAATGTTTAATTAAACAGGAAAAAAATTGTCAACCTAAAAACTAAGTTATCATAATCGAATTTTGTGTTAGACTTCTTATTAAAATCGCAGAAGAAGAACAAAAATTTTAAATACGTCAGAAGAAGTTCGAGACCGAAAAATTTGAGAATTCTTCGCATAGACAGCTAGGGCAGTTCCCTTCTTCGCTACGGAAAGCGAGCACGGATACCAGAAGATTCCGATGAAGTTCATTCCCTCCGATGACTTTGCTCGCGAGAAGCGAGAACATAAAAATAACAGCTATTATAGAATCGTCCAGAGCGGAACGACAGTACGTAAGAACTCAACTCGACTTATTACCGATTTCGCGTGCGAAGAAAATGGACGGATTATTCGACAGAAGCTGTCAATGCGAAACAGCAAGGTAGATGCGTACAAGGAAGATAATTGATGAACAAAGTACCGATGAGAGGATAAGCTCTACTGAAAGAAAGATTGAAAATAAAACATGGCTGCCGTTTCTCTTGCTCGGCTGTATCTTGTGCAGTGCGCTTTTATTAATGCAAGTCATTATTTATTGTCGAGGTATATCTACATGGAGATCCATTACCTCGAAGTTACGATAAGGTAACTATAATAAGCTAATCGATAGAGACAATGAAAAATTGATTTTCTTTCAGCACCCGATTTTATATTACAAGAAAGGATATAAGATATTAAAAATTGACGCAATTTAGATTTAGACGCAATTCTATAATTCTTGTCTGAATGGGAAATAAATCCGAATAATTTAAGACTAACGCACAAAAACATTTCGCAACGTACTTGACTAATGCACACAAATTAGATTAGGTCATGAAAAATTCTCTCTAGATAAAGTTATGTAAGTATATAAGTATTATAAAAAGAGGACGAAAGACTCAAAGTTTCAAGGACTCGATTCATTTTGATGAATCTTGATCAGTCATTCAATATTCGACCGTCCTCCACATAACAATCTTCATCTCGTTGAATCAGTTTTTTCTGGGAATTCGATCGACTAAAAGAAAAATCACGAAACAAAATATATAATACTCTCAGAAGAAAAGTTAATACAAATAAAATATACAAAATTATTCAGAACAAAAGAGAAAAAAATCGTGTATTTTAAAATTAATTATTTACGGCAGTATTAAACGTAAGTTAACTAATATATATATATATATATATATATTAATCACAAAAAAACTGATCCGTCGCTGTTCATCTCAAAAGTGCCTTCTAACTATGGAAAGAAGTTACCGATCATTCTCATTGATACATCGATCCACATGCACGAGAAGCGGTGTAAACAAGTAGGCGAGCGGCGCCAGGAGGAGACTCGGGAGCGAGAAGAAGAAATGAGAGATTAAGACTGCAACGTACGTGGAACGGTTCTCCTTCGTTACGTCCTGGAAAGCTACCTGGCATTCCGGCAAACGCGATGCCGTTGATCTCGTTAACTTCCCGTTCTCACTGACGCATTCAGCGCCGGCGCTGAGAAATTCGTGAGGACTCACTCTGGCGGAAGTCGATGCGACGCCGAAAGTGGCGACTGCCCTTCGTTCTAATCGCCGGTACCGTCGTAAATTTATCTGTTCTGACATTGAACGCAATGTTTAGTTCGTCCTTGGGACTTTTTCGCATAAGTTCTAACGAGTTTTTTCCCGGAAAAGTATAGAAATTAATAGTTAATTACGAATTAATCTTACACTAAAAATAAACCTCTTTATTCACGATTACACATTCATCTCTCTTTCATGTATAAAATTAGCATTATTATAAACTTAATTTGTCTTCAACATTATATATCTCTAATAATTATTTAAATATTTATAATTGCGCTCTAAAAAAATATATTCTACATTATATGATGTTGATGTGGATTTTAAATTCAAATTACGATAATATTAATTAACACAGTGAGAATTATATAAACATCGCATCATATTAAATCCACACTCATATTTTTACAGTTGTATTTTTTAGAGTGTATTTAATAATCCTCTTTATTGCATTTATTCATTTTTATGTAGACGGAAATCCGGCGAAACGACTGTTTAAAAAAAAAAAAAAATAGAAATCTAGCGAATTCTAACAGACTTTGCGATGCCACGCCAATTACCAACTCGATGTCGAATCATACGAAGACGTTATTCGAACAGCCTTGGCCGATCGGGCATTCCTGCCGATCGTGCTCGTTTGCACTCCGCGATCTTGCTTCTTCTACCTACATACCTGGACCGGTGGTCGCGATGTTATCTCTCGTTCGCGAGAGGGGGAGGGGGGAGGTGTGTGCAGCGCGAGGCCGAGCGGGGGCCGCGAGACGTTTATGGAGAACGCCGCTGCAGCGACGATATGTATGTATTATGGAAAGCGAGCTTTGGCATTCCATAGTGAGCGTCGTCGAACTCATTAACATCCCGTGCTCGTTGGCGGCGCGGCATGGCACAGTACGGCGTCCCGTTTTCCCTCGAAATAAACAAACCCGTCGACGTTACGACACCGGAGCTGAATAGAAACGATAATGTTTCTACGTGACGTTTGGCGTAAATCCGGCGCGGAGTTCTTCTTGGCGAGGAAAAAACCGGAATTAAAGTGCAATCCATCTGATATCGGTTTCGGATACGGTACTATCATGATGACTTTCGATGCGGAAAAAAAAACGATTTTTCTAAGTTATCTCAAAAGTTAGATACAAATCTAAAAGTAATTTTGTTGAACATTAAAATTTAAAATAATCGCTTCAACGTACACATTGCTAGAAACAATTTTAACATTCTAGCAATATAATTTAACCGTCCTACATAATTATTTTAATAGTCTAAACAAAATTATTTTCAGATCTGTATTTAGTTAAATTTTTAGATATTTGAGCAAAACCGTTCTTTCTATGTATAATCAATAAATTAAGCTGCATACTGTAATTGACAATTTTACATAATATAGATAAATATTACGAGGCCTTACGAGGCGGACAGCTAATTTTCTCTTTAGTTGAACAGCACGTTTTCTCATCTAGTATACAATTATTTATGAACAATAGACACGTTCTCATATTTATACAATACAACTGTTCGAGGATCAACGCATTTATTAATTTTAAATGCGGTTATAATTGTTTCATAAATTTTCATTTCTTCTAAATATAAATTTTATTCCAAATAGAATTTATATATAAAATATACATTTTTAAAAAATATATATAAAATATATTCTATATATTATTTTATGTATCATCCGAGCTTCAATTTTAACATCTTCAAGTCCAAATCTTCTTGACGTAATATTAGATGGATACTCACGTAAACTCACGGAGTAATTTCAACCCTTAAACTTTAGCAACAAAAGGCGAAGGATTTGCGAACATTTCTTGCTAAACAATTACGAGAGCGATACACAACTTCTACGTTACGTCATATTCGACAGTTAATTAACGTCAGCTTATTTCTCATAGAGAACGTAACCAGCCACCATGCGGATGCCGTCGACCTCGTCGGGTCGATGTTATCACACGCCATATGTATTTTCATTCAGTACCGATCTTCATGGTTATTCATCGACTACATAACTTCAGAAGTGTCCGAAATGTCAAAGACTTTAGATAAACTCAACTTACCTGACTCCTCTAACTTTCAGTTTTCTCTTCGTTCTCCGCTTCTTCCTTTTTTTCTTCCTTTCTACCTGCAATTGAAGGATCCTATCCAAGGCGTTGGTGCGCCGACGTCATCATCGAGAAAGAATAAACTCTCGTGGGAACAAGCACCGTCTGAAAAGAGTTTCAGATCGCACTAGGAAACCCGGGGGAGTTTTCTCAGCGCGCGGCCATTTTGGTAGCGGCCGACCGGATGTTCGCGCGTCCGCGGGAGGCGAGGATCGAGGCAGGCAGCACCACTTATTCGCGGGATGATACCATCGGGCACCGCGACACCGCGGAATCGCGTAGACGACTGACGATGACTCGCTTCTGCTACGCGAGCGAGCGAGCGAGCGAGCGGGCGTCCAGGCGAGCGAACGCCGCGAGCGAAAACTCACTTTACGCTCGCCTCCACTACCACTTTTGCCTCCCACCTCTACGAAGCCGAGGACTCGCTCGCCCGCTTTCTTACCTGACTACCTTACCCCTCTGCCCCCCCCCCCTCCCCGCTGCTCCTCTGTGCTTGCTAGAGCTCGCTCGCTCGCCCGAATACCTGCCTTCCTCTCGAACGAGCGAGCGAGCTCGACATGAAAAACTACAGGATGAATTACGCTGGGAAGTAGACGGAGAGGTACTCCGCGCCTCCGGACCTTTACTACGTGCCGTAGTAAATTCGATATCTGTGCTGCGCAAAAGAGCGGTCATCCGGCATTCCGTGAAAGCCGAGCCAAAACAGGAATCTCCCGTTCGGAGTCTGAATTTTTCAATCACGCGCTTGATGCGATAACAAATCGTATGGATTGAAAGAATTAAATGCTCTAAGCGGAATGCGGGAATGCAAATTATGCAGAAAGAATAATTTTAATTTTCAAGTACCTAAAAATTTAGTCATATACAGATTTGAGAATAATTTCCTTGAAACATCAAAATAATTATGTGGAACATTTAAGCATTGATGACAGAAAAAGCAGCGAATGTTACATAAGATTCTTTGATACGATTGAATTTTGTTCTTAGTTCTTCATTGGGTCTAAATGTATGAATCAATTACATGAACAAATTTTACAACAATTGTAAAGTTTTTCCTGCTAAACATGGTCAACTGCAAACAAATTCGAAAGACGAAAGTTGAATTAAATGTGCTAAATTTCTAAAGTATGGAATGCGAAGTTAAGGATAGAAATCGTTGGTCTAAAGTAATATGAACGTAATATAAACGTCAATATATAATCTTACAACATATGACTATGTTCCGAAGGAATTTCTGTTGCGCGATTTTAAATACAACAGGTGTTGTAAGCACACATAACATAGTGCAACCGACGACAACATCGCGATAATTGATTTTAATATACATATCTCAGAAATATTAGATCCGAATGAATCATAAATGAACGATAAACAGATCAATCGGTTTTCATAATATCATATAGTATATCGTACATAATAAAAAATAATTAACATAACATACATAATAAGCTTCTTTCGTTTCATAAACGTAGGAGAATAATTGTTCTATTTATATTTATTTTCTGTTATTATGCCTTTACCTACGTTATTTTATTTTTATATTATTTAATTATCTTAACCTACGTTTTCTACCATCTAATATATTTTTGTATTCAATATGCATCCAAATTATGGTCAAAACATCTGAATTTTACTTATGTAATTTACTGCAAATAAATTTAACATTTTGATATCCGTGTTGACTCTAATTGATTTTTCTTTCTTTATTTAAATTTTTTTATTGTTAAAGTCTTAAACTATTTTATTACTGTTTATATTTATTGTATTATATTAAAATGTGAGATTTGAGAGAATTTATGCAGGAGAATTTATTTATGTGGCCATTCCATTTACGAGCTGCACCTTCATTTCAACGAGACGTGAAAATATTTACGCGAGTATGGAAACTGTACTGTTATTTCCGCAAACTCGAATTACCTTGAAACGTCACGTCGCGTAAATAAAAATGACAGAGTTACATAATTCCCAGGAGAGTCTCAAATGCAAGCGTTTCGCTATTGAATCGCGCCAGCGAGTTGTATTCACGCGCGGCTGTCTATAAAATTTCATCAGACTTCGACTCGATCGATCCTTCATCGATCGGAATTTCAATCGAATTGCAAGTCGTCACATTAAGCAACTATGCTAAATCGGCGAAAATATTTCGCAAGGTCACGTTTCCTCAACAATCCGAATTTCGGATCTATGTTTCACATGTTTTTTCTTTTCGGTCTGAATGTTTCAATTTATCTAGCGTTTTCTTTTCAGGTAAAGAAGAACTAATTTTTCGATGACTTTCATTTGGAACTGCTGTGATCATCGTCTACATATCCATTTTAAGAATGTATGAATTTCTTTTAATCTAGGAATAATTACTCGGGACGTTTTTACACTCTAGCGGCAAAAAGTGTGAATTATTGTAAATATTGTTTTGTATGGATATTGTTTAACATTTTCTTTCTTTTTTAATTATTATTCTTTACAAGTTCTTTTTGAATAAAAAAAAATTTTTAAATACTTTATTAAAAAGTTATAAAATATAAAATATAAAAAAAAAACAATTATTACATTTTATCTAAGTTTGCATTTTAAACTACTGTCAATACAAGTTTGACATTGATATAATTTCGAATTTATTATTTTTTCCGAGAATAGATTGTTAAAGATTTTTTTCTTAATCTACATAGAAAGAAACGATTCTGTTAGCATATTTAACGATTTTGCTAAAATATTTAAAAATTTAACTAGATGTACACAGTAAAACTATTTTTGTTGGGTCAACAAAATATTATATTTATGTAGCACTCAAATTGATTGTTAGAATGTCAAAATTCATCATGCTCGAGATTTTAAATAATTATTTTGATGAATCAACAAAATTATTTTCAGATTTTGTATTTAGCTAAATTTTTAGATACTTCAGCAAAATCTTTTTTTCCGTGTATTTTAATGACAATATAATCGTTGTGCTAATTATCAGTATTATTATAACATTGTTGCGCAAATCTTATACATGATAAAAAAAGCTGCGCAACCACAATGTCACTAACACTATCATTAGAGAATAGGTCTTAAAAGAATTTCAATATTTTCCGAGCAATTTTTTTTGATAAATTTGTCTTACAAATTTCCTTTCTTATAAAGATAAAAAAATATTTTGTCTTAAAATATAAATATTTTGTTATACAAATTTATCAGAAGAACAAAATATTTTTTTATCTTTATAAAAAAGGAAACTTGTGAGACAAATTTATCAGGACAAAATGTTTTTGTTATCTTTACGAAAAAGGAATTCTCAGACTACAGCCGCAATTCTTCGAGTTCCTTACGAGCAGTTACTTAAAATCATAATACAATTATAAGTTTTAAATCAGTATAAGTTCGTATAATAATAATAATAATTAATAAAGTCGCCTAATATGAGATCTTTTTTTAAAGACTTGTAATTTATTTAATTTGCAATGTTAAGTCCTATTTTCAATTTTATGGGAAATATATTCAAGATTTATCACCAAAAGTTAGCGACCGATAGTAGCTATACTTTGTTGTATGTAAAATTTTTTTATTGAAAGTGTCGATTTTGCTCATTTAAAAAAAGGGTTCCTAATATGAGATGCAAGGGAGATGCAAATTTCTTGTATGAGATGGTATTTCATAACAGAAAATTAAGAAAAAATAAAGATAAGCTTTTTACACACGCTTTTATTATATTACATACAAGTAGGAACAAAGAATTTGAATGTTATACATAATAATTATATAATTTTTCGATGTGTGTGTATGTGAGTAATCCTAACAATAGAATCATCATTTTTAATATTTCGTTCAATAGTATGCTTTGAAATATTGAATTGTTTATATAGCTCTCATATTAGTTAGGAATACTCTAAGTATCTCATATTGCGACTTCCATGCCTTGCGGTTTCATGATCACCAAATCTAAGCTTTACAGTTAAACAAATCATTATATCACGTGTTTTTCTATTAATACGATCTTTCTCTATCACTGCATGCAGACTTTATTATCAAATATTTATTTATTATATAATAAAACAAGGTTTGAAGACTAACCTCAATAAAATTCGATAACAATTTCAAGAATCTTTTTTCACAACTACTGCACGCATTTAATAATGAGTTTTCTACTACATATGTTTCACTCTAATAAGTTCATAATAAAATCAACCACATGTGCTTATTAGTTTAGCAGAAATCCCGCTATCTCATATTGGGAATCTATCCCATAATAGGCGACCTAGTGTGAAGATTGTAAATAAATTTCTTTCTTTTTAATAGTAACTTACAAATATAAATTACATCGCATTGCATGATCGGTATGCACTCGAGAAGTGGTTCACGCGGCTTTCGTGGCATCGATTGTCGATCGATCGGAACGCAAAACGAGTATCAACATCGTGATGTCGAACCGCCAAACCTGGATTCTCGAGATGCTTCACCATCTTCGTCCTTCCGTATCTTTTTTAAACGGTCGCGCCGCGAGATTGGCGGGACATCGGAGCATAACCCCAATACGATCGATACGTACGGTGGGGATCGCGCGCTCATCCGTTAGCGGTACTCCAGTCCCAATATCGTTATCCAATTAGACAAGCTATCAGGCCGGAGCACACAGGTACATGCAGGTGCGCCCGCTAACAATTTCCCGTACGACGTCGCTCCTTACCGGTGCGGCGCGGCGACGCGGGAGATCGGAATGGAAAGTGGTAAGCACGTAGATCGAGGAACGAAAAACATGAATATGCGTGATCTCGCTCGCACCGATCGCCGTGATATCGCCGGTCCGTACGCAATCCCATTTTTACGTATCTTCCAAGCAGAATAACATGGAAAGAATGATTTTATCGAAGCATCTAAAACTTTAGCTACATACAGATTGAAAAATAATATTAATTATATAGGAATGTTAAGCAACACTGCAAAAAGTCTAACAATCACCTTGTCCACCATAATTTTTATGTCACCATAATTTTGATAGTCCAATCAAATTATTTTCAGATTTCTATATTTTTAGATGTTTTAGCAAAACTATTTACTTTCCGTGAACAGATCACGTTAACTTTAATTTTAAATTAAATCGTGACTGATCATCATTTTGATGTTAAATAAATCGAAAAGTGATTTTTAATAATCATTTTAAAGTCATTTTGATATTAGGATGACTTTATGTTCTGCTTACTCTTCAAAAATCGCGCATTCTTCGACCGTTTTTGCAGCCGAGAGGAAATCGAAGGAACTTGCGAAGAAAGATGGCCACTTAAATATGTGTAAACTATTTTTTGCGTAACACGAATGAAGAAGTTTTAACAATTTGTCCGACAGGTGTT